TGTATAAGATACTATAATCATGTGAACTAAATAGGATGTACTTAAGACGGATATAGCACTACATGTGTTAATAAGAATGAGCATTAACCTTGATCATGAGAGCATTCATCATTTCATTGGTTTGTGATGCTTTAATACATGCGATGTGGATCATGGTTTCTATCCCTATTAATTACCTTGCCATGTAGCAGAGAAACAACTCAAAGATTGATTGGTCTATTTTTTTTAGCTGGATCTCGCTGAGGATTACTGCATTGGGGAGGGTAGTTTTTAGTTGTGGTGTCTCGTCGCATAGAAACTACTCGGTAGTTTTTGCATTGGAAGTGCCCTTATGTATACCTTTTGGAATAAGCTTTAAAATATATTGTTGAGTAAAATGCTCGAGAGCTGCATTTTTATTTGATGCAAAGAATAGTAAGATGAAGAGCAAGATGAAGGAAGGGATGCTAGCCAATGCTGCAACAACCTTGGAGGCCAAGCTTATTTTTCAAGGAAATTATTTTGGCAAGAAAGAAAACAATCAAGCAAATATATATATATATATATATATATATATATATATATATATATATATATATATATATATATATATATATATATATATATAGGCACCGTGCACATGGATATAAATGGAAGGCCAACCTAAGTACGTGAACTTTATTTGTTTAATTAAACTAGAGCTTAAGTATGGTGATTCGCATTCTTTAGTATTTCAATCTATATAAGTTGCGTGAGTTTAGGTGCATGCTGCATCTCTTGTTTAGTTAGTTTTGGTGTTCACATAACATGTTTTCGTGTCCTGGTCCACATGTCAGAGTCCTGCATCTGCTTGCGTATAAAGGGCTGCTAATCAGCCATGTACCTATTGGATTTTAGTATGGAGTTATTCTCTCGTCAAGCCGTCGCTCAAAAAATTCCTAGATGATGTTTTCATCAGGTTCTTCATATTGAAGATTATCTCCCAGATCTTTGCGGATTTGTGTTGGTGTGTGATCGGAGAATTGATTTTTCCTAGACTCGCATTGGTTCCCATCGAAATCCCCTCTCTGGATCCTGCCCTCATTGTGCATGGGATGGAGAATGCTTCTGCTGATCGGATTGCATCTACCAATCTGGTTGTAAGACCGGCCATCCCTCTGCTGCTGCTATTGCTAGTGTTTGGTTGATCACATGGATTTATTTTACCCATCTGGATTGTATCTTGTTTGCTCAATATAATTTCCCTGAGATTAATTTATCGACCACATCTTTCCATTCTGCTGGGTATTGATCCCAATTTGAACCTTAGCCGCAAGTATTATTTGTTTATTGACGTGAGACTAATCTGCAATTTTTTAGTCAATACGGCATTTCCATTGGAAACACTGGCTCGACTAAATCGCGAGCAACCAGAGTATTTACAAATTCTTTGGGAGGGGGTGTGCCCAAATATAGAGTTCACCCGGGTCCCAACACATAGCTTGCTAAGTCATGTGCGACAGAGTTACAAGTTCTAGGGATAGAAATAATGTCACTACATATGAAATGCTCCCCTAATATGAAACGAGTATCCCTGATCATCATCCCACAGGTCACCAAATCATATTTGGTGGAGCATATTATTATTGTTTGCTTACATTGGCAAGAAAATTCAGAGAAGCTATTTTCTTTATCGGGCTTGCTAGAGCCAGGACGCTCTGCGTCTGCAGACCATTTCGCGTGCCCACATGGGGCCCGCATTGCACCGAACGTCACTAGTATCGAGAAGAGGGGGAAGGCGTGGGCGGCGGATGCTCAACCGGCGTTGGGAGGAGGAGACACTGAGGCGAGGTAGACGAAAGCGAGGAGCGAGATGCAACACCTGATCTACTTTTAAAACATCTAGATGCAACAATTGCAACATACGTCTGAAAGACTGATGAAATACTTGAAACATGCATCTAAAACACTTACGAAAACACCTGGAAAATACTTAAAACTATTTAAAACATACGCAACATCCAGATAAAACACTTGCAACATGTGTGTGAAACATATGCAACATCTAAATAAACACACTTGCGACATACGTCCATAAAAACTGATGAAACGTTTGGAACAGAAGCTTGCAACATACGTGTACAACCATTGTAACATGCAACATCCCGATCTACTTTTGCAACATCCGCATGAAACACCTACAACATACCTCTAAAACATCTTAAACACTTGAAACATACGATTGCAACATGTATTTTTACCCTTCTTCTTTCATACGACGCAGCAATGCAGAGCGGAGGATGGGAAGGTGGAGGGCAGCGCCATTGCGGCCCCTTCTAGAGGCGAGCGGAGGGGGCGACGGGGATAGGCCGCTGGTGAGACTTTGGGCGTGGGATGGGCAGGCGGAGGGCAGCGCCTTCGCGCCCCTTGTGGAGGCGAGTGTAGGGGGCGACGAGGATAGGCCACTAGCGAGCTGCCACCGTCGCAGGTGGGCGAAGAGGGAGGCGGGGACAGGCCAGCAATGGGTGCGAGGCCACCGGCGGGCTCTATCCAGGCGAGGGCCGGGAGGAAGGGGCCGATCGCAGGTGTAGGGGGCTGCCAGCAAGCTCTGGCCAGGCGAGGTAGGAAGATGGGGCTGGCAAGGAGCTCTGGCCGGGCTGGGGATGCGAAGAAGTGGTCGGCTACGGGCGCTGGCCAGTGGAGGCACCGTGGGGAATGGTGCGGGATGGAGGTGCCACGGGGGATGGCGTGAGATGGAGATGCCGCGGGGAATGGGATGAGCGGATGACCACATGTGGGGAGTTTTTTTTGAGTGCGTGTCCGGATGGAGACGGACGCCCATGGCGTATCATTAGCGTTTCTTTTTCCTATACCGTGAAAGATGGGAGAATTATTCGAGAATCGTAGGCATGTCCTTATCACTTGCAGTTTAGTTGTTATTGCTTATGACTACTAGAGGCGAAATGGTGGCAGTGCAACTTGTCTCTTGTTTGTAAATGTGCAACCATTGGAGGGGCTTGGTTGTTGATGGCGATGGTCAAGATCAAGCAAGGCTTCTCATTGGTATACCATGGGCGGTGAAGGGCGAACAAAAGAGCTTTGACTAACGGGAGGCCTTGGAAAACCGTGGTTAATTTACAACAAGCACAAGGAATTACTAGTGGAGTTGGGTTGCCTTCTCCCTCGCTTTGTATTTCAATTTTTCTTTGTTTAGCTTGGGCATTTTTCTTGTGTTCTTCGAGCTTTCTCATGTTTGCTTGTTCATCGTACATATTATTCTCGATATCTTCATCATCCTCTACTTGACTAATGGGTTGTCTTTTGCTTACTTATGGCCTCTTGTTGCTTCGTGGCTTGCTTTTCTTTTTTCTAGCTTTTTGGGTGCGGCTATCTTCTATTCATTTGATAATGAATGGATCTTCACGTCTTGATCGGGATCTGGTTACTAGGTTCGTGCTTCTTGGGCATTTCCATGTGCTTCAAAGTTGGTTGTGTTTCTATGTTTTCAAAATTCGGATTCTACCTCGTGTTTGGGGCTGCGATGACAATGGATTTTCTTCATCATCATCTTCTGACTGATGGGTTGCCTTTTTCTTACTTGTGGTTGCTTGTTCTTGCTCCATGGCTTGCTTTTCTTTTTCCCATTCGGGTGATGTTATCTTCTATTCATTGCGATGAAGCGTTCTTCATGGGCTGAGCATGATCTTGTTACTAGGTTGGTGCTTCTTGGGCATTTCCATGTGCTTCAAAGCTGGTTGTGTCTCTATGTTTTCAAAGGGTTGGGTTCTACTTCGTGTTTTGGGTTGCAATGACAAGGGATTTGAGGGGAGATTTCTTTGGTGCCATTCTTGGTAGATTCTTGAGTGTATGGGTTGCAACATGAATAGTGCAAAAATGCTTATCGCTTCACTTCAATACACATCATATCAACATGAAGTAATAACAGGATGAGTCATGCCATTTTTTCTTTGGATATTTCAATTACAGTGATCCCGTATTTATAGGGAGCTAACGGGTCTACTCATAACATTAAAGATAATCCAAGTACAAACTATATTCCCTGAATATTTGGGGTTAATACTAGAATTTACATGCCTAGTTTGCATTATAGTCTTTGCACCACTCACATCGCAAAACCCTAAGTACGACTCCCTAAAACTTCATCATGTTCTACCCTTACACGGTTTGGATCTCACCTTTCCGAGCCAGGTCTCATGCCCTAAAAGATGCTCTTCAGCCATCTTTTGGCAGCGAGCCCCTCTATGGCTCATCTCTATTTTTCTAAAGGCCATCATCATCAATGATATTCATTATGTATCCTTTGGCAGCAGACCTCTTCGGGCCATTAGCTTCATCTTTGGCTCTTCGCTCTCCTTCACGCGTCATTATCTTGTATGTTGGCAGCAGTGTAGACCGGAAGAGGGAGTAGCGTTCCCTGAGGGCAATCCCCTAACAATGTGTGAAAGTGGTGAAGAAGTGTTCACTGAAGTCAAGGAGCGAGCCAAGTATATAACGTTCCATGTTTTTATGTAATATGAAAATGACAAGTATACAAAAAAAATGTGTAACGGTGTGTTGCATGTCACAAGCAAGTTAAAACTTTTGCTTCTTCCTCTTATTTCAAAATTACAAATCAAGGTGTTCAATTTAAAATATTGCATGGTTCCAATAAAATATTTCATAAGTTTTAGAAATTAAAGCCAAACTTTGCTTCTCCAAGAACAAAAATGATTTTAAATTGGAGCTACCACTTGAATTCAATTTACATTAATCATGTTTTACCAAAAAAACCTCACACTCTTCCCCACCCCTATACAATAAAAGTTTCTCAATTATCTTACGAATTCATTCATGTTATGTTATAGTGGGCATATTTATGTTTGTTCCTTTTTGGTTTTATTTGGAGTTAAACTCTCGTCAAGATGAGTTAAGAAAAACCTTTGGTAATGGAAAGCTCCTTCCTAATCCGTTTGCCAAGTCACAACCTACCCTTCCGCCTGTGGCCTGAACCTGTTGCCAATCCTTTTTCTTTCTCTCTCCCTTCATTCCTCCTCAAACCGGCCTAGCCCGCCTTCTAGTTCTTCCCTGTTGTCCTCTCCTGTCCTAAGATGGCTTGGTCCATTAGGCAATGCCTCCACATGATATAGCAGGAACACCGAAGCCTGGCAATCAGTAACACACCCAGCAGGGCAATCAGCAAAATATGTGCCCTTTACGTACGCACCATAAACAACCGTGAGTAGGAGCAAAATCAACATAAAGAAGTTCTAGGTCAGCTCTGTGCACCATCTTGCGGTGGCCAAGGAGGTCACTGATTTCAAAGAGACCGAGATGATTGGAGAAGGGGATGAGGCCAAGGACATCAATATTATCACGTATGTGGTGAAATTGCTAGTCACTCACCACGAGATTGTTGTTTCAGTAAGATGGCAAAAGAGTTCAAAGTGAAAGAAGAGACAATAAAGAAAGAAAATGTCCTATAACATGGTTTTCACAACTTGACCCATCATGCATCCAAATAAAATAGCAGGGCCCTTTGGGATATTGGAGGCAATGTTTCTGGCAGGCCCCATTGTCCTATTGTGTCCCTATGGATGTAACATGAAGGGTTATCGAAAGTGAGGACTGTATTTCACTATGTTTTTGCTAAGAATAGATGTATGTGTGGAATGACCAAAATATGAAGGCTATTCTTTACTTGGATCACTAGAAGTCATGAGTATTTTTATGTTCGTGTCATCTCTCCATGTGCGCATAAAGGCACACGTCTAACAAATGTCATTGTATATTGTACACAGGCTGCTGATTGAATTTGTGTGTAGTAAATCTTGGTTGATCACCTTTCATGGGTTGATAGTGGAACTGGGTTGCAAGCTAATGACTTCTTCAATCGCAACATGTGTAGCACCGAAAGGCTAGGATTATTAAGCTTGTTACGCATGGACAATCCAGGAAGCAATCCACCCATGGTAGGTGGGAGATTTTTTTGTTTAGAAATCATATCTTCTAGCTTAGGATTTCATTAATATTTATTACTCAAAAATACTAACATATCTTGCATTTAATGAATTACAAGAGTAAATAAATAGTTGTATCTTCTAAATGATGAATTAATTAATACAAGATTACACATTATGATATGGATTCAACACAACCTCAATATAAAACTACAGAAAACCCACTTCTGCAACTAATGCGTGTTCTCATTTCTCAAATAGAATCTTGAAAGATTAGTTAAATAAATGAGCCACATTAATTTTGCATATCATATATGTGATGAATGGGCCACATTAATTTTGAGTATCAACATTCCTAAACCCCCTATAAATAGGTATGTAGTGTACTCCCTTGAACTATATCCTAACATAGGTCTGCCTTCCTGCCAGACACTAAGAATTTAAGAGTCATGGATTCCCACAAGGATATCAAACCAGTAGAAAATGAGCCCTTTGTTTCTCCCTTGCATGAGGCATTGAGAGGCATGGTAGCAATGCCCATCATAGGTTCAACATTACACAACCAACCTATTGTGCACACACCACAAGAACCTACCCATACATCGATGAATGGCAATTTTATCTACCCATACCAAGCAGAGGAACCAACATCGCTGCCATCACTCTATAATCATACAGCTGCTACCAGCGGAGACCAAATCATCTCCAGTCCATTTCATTCCAAGCTCTCAGCCAGCTCATCTAGCAATCAGAATGCATTCTTGTCCGAACGAGATTTTCTGACAACACCAGTAGGAGATTACCTCAACTTTTCTGATCCTATGAGGATTAAGTCTATGGATCCACCACCACTCACATCCTTGCTCCAAGGTAATCCTCTTGTGGTTCTCCATGCACACTTTAATACCATTGAAGAGGTAGACCTTGGCCCAGTCTTTGAGCAACCTACACAAGTGCTAAGTGAACCACCGATGCCAACGAGGGAAGTTGTTGGCGCTTATAATAATATTGTGCAGAGAATGCCACAGTCTACATTGGAAAATGAAAAAGGACGGGTTGAATATGTGTGCAGGATATGCACTGCAAAATTTTTCTCAGGACAAGCATATGGTGGACACATGAGCCACCACAGCAAAGTTAAGAAAAAGGAACAAGCTAATTCCTTATCTTAAACTGGTGCGCAAAGAATACGAAGGGCATATGCTATGGTTATTTGGCACCAAGTTATGAGTTTTTTTCACTAGTTAATAATCTGATGATCGACATTGAGCAATTGCCTATGAACAATTTATCTGTAATTTTTAGGATCTAAGAAGCATAAATGTTCAGAAACTGGGGTGATTCATGTTTTAATAATATGCTTTTATGTATCTGGCTCAAGTTATGTTGTGTACTCTATTTTATAATACTATGCTTTTATTTCTTCTATGATGACTGTAATCACAGACGGGTAACATACCCGCTCGTGAAGATACTTCAGAACCCATATGTGATCGATTACATCACAGACAGTATCCTGACCCGTCTATAATGATGTTTCATCACAGAAGGGTAATAACCCATCTGTGATGTGACATTGTGATAGTTCATCATAGACTCCAACACTCAGATGGTTGTATCATCTGTATGTGATGCATTTACGACCTATCTCTGATGTAGTCTATAACATAAACGGGGATTTGTAGTGGCCCGTTCTATTTGGTTCGGACCGACCACTATAAGGCATGTCTCTATGCAATCTCTATCTCAGATGTAGTTTTAAATCCCTGTCTATGTTTTGTTTAGTTCACATACCAACTGCTATATTGCCCACATCTATGTGCAGTCAAAATCTCAGATGTAGTTGTTTCAAATCCCCATTTGCGATGACCAGCGCTCATAGAATGAAGCCGCTTGGTCAGAGATGTGGATTCTTTATTCAAGTCACTGATCAAGCGGCATCAGAATGATCAAGTTGCACAAGATCATTGAATTTCTCAGTGAGCACATTCAGTCATGAGGATATTTGATCAGCATATCTTTATGATATCAAGTTGCACAAGATCATTGAATTTCCCAGTGAGAACATGATATCTTTCATTTTGCGCATCCTTTGTGTCATCATGGTTCTCAATGGTGCTTTGTGCAATATCATGCATAAACAAAAACACAACTGAAAATAGGAGCATCAAGAGATGCTACAAGGATGCCCCTTTTAACCTTTCTTTCTTCATGATGTAATCGACAACTTTCATTTTTTATCAAATGATGATTGCATTTGTTATACAACATAAAAGATACGAATAATGCATTACATGGATGACAGCTTCAGACTCATGAAATAAATTCCAAGAGCTCTTTGTCCTAAATATGCCCATACATGCAGAACACAATAAAAACCACACTTATTTCCCAAATGGTAACCAACTAGATAGAAAAAACTGATTTGATCAACAACATAATAATTGAAATTTTGTCAACTATCATCATGGCCCATATCACCAAGATTATTGCATGTACCATCATCGCCAGGGCTTTAAGGTCTAATAAGGTCTGCTGACCCAATCAAAAGTTCCTTGATTAAGGCCAGAAGGACCAGGCATGTCATGCCCACCAGCATCTTGTCCTCCATAAGCACCATAATACAGATCATTGGAAGGACTAAGTGAATTGCATTGGTAACTGGCAAATTGGCTTCCCTCAGCTGGGTAACTGTTCCCCTCAGCGCCACCAGTAAAAAGTGAAAGATCATTATTTTCTAAGATCGAGAGAGTGTTAGTGTCATGACTTTGAGGTGGCAGCACCGGATTTAAATTCGGTGCTTGGAAAGGAAGCTCAACTTCTAGAGGTAGATGTTCTGATGAGGGGGTGGTGGTGGCGGCACTGAGGATAGTAGAGACGGTAGCCAGAAATGTCCAGAGGGGTTACCGTTGATGACAAACTGCTGGCTTTGATCGTTGTACTGATGTGCTTCATTAGGTAGTGGCAACATATCCGCTGCCCAAGGGTGCTGTGGCATCAGACTGTGTTGTAACGGGGGCACTGGTGGTGCTTGTGGTAAGGGCAGCGTGGTTGAGTTCAAAAGTGAGGACTGCAACCATGATGGCTCTGGAACAGCACTAGACGATCTTGGAATCTGCAAAGGTTGTACAGAAGTCCATGGCAAATGTCTTGGTGGCACCTGGATTTGTGAAGCACGCACCTGATCTTCAATCTCTTGATTGATCCGTGTGAGCCCATGTAGCAGCTCATTGAGCTCGTCGACACTAAGATCATCTATCTCACCATAGACAAGCTTAGCAATCTTTGAACTTTCTTGAATTTCCTTGGAACGTGCCATAGAAACCCTCATCCTCCTGTCCTGCACGTCCTTGAGATTACCTAGCCGGACTAGCTTATTTTCTAGAGAAATGGTGTTGGCCTTTTGTACCTCATGAGGGATTGGACCTTCCACATTCCATGAAAGGAAAGAATCAATAATGGGGCCAGCTGATGGAGTGCCGAATGCGAACATTTTTTCACGTTCGGACTCTACTACAACAGCAACTTTCGCGCCAGTGAGGATGGATAGGTCAGCTGCGGATTTGAAAAGCCCATCGCGCCGCTTGATGAATGTGAAGCTACGGTCAATATCATTCTCAACATAGTGGATACCGGTTCTCCTTGGCCTCTTAGGCTTCATAGGATGGAGAATCCAGATCGAAAGGAACTACTAAAAATATGGAAGTGTTTTTGAAGGAGTAGTTGTGTTTTGATGTGAAGGAGGTCGAGAAGTTTCCTATATATAGAAGAAAAGTACCAAGTGCAAACATTTTCCTTGTGATTCGAAGTATTAGAATGCCTTTAGAAATAGTATATCAACATGTCTCTTTTGGATTCTAATGCGGTGTCACTGACATAGAGGTCCTTCTTTCCCGTGGGCAAGGTGCGACCCATTTGTCAGCAGCTATTAGGAAATTGTAAATTAACTTATGCATAGAAACTGCCAGGTAGTATTATTATAGTGTGTATAATGCTTCCGAACATGACAGATTGCAGTATACAAAAATAATAATTGCAAAGCACTCTCAGTTTCTGGTACTGTTTGACCTTATCCTGCCTTATATAAGCAATTCAATTTGGGTCATGTTTAATGCTAATAAAACATACCCATAAACTATGTGTATGTGCTCTAATACCATTTTTATCCGGTTCTAATTAAGATTAACCATTTGCCATATATGTATATCTAGATTTTGGAAATATCAGTTAGCATTGTGATCAAACTCCTATTCGTTGAAAGCATGATCTAGTTAGCAATTTCCTAGAAACTTCCTGATTAGCTAAATGATGTATCATTGGCATGCCACTCCTAGGGCCACATTTCAGTGAGAATGGGTGAGAAAATTATAAGAAACTAGCAGAATTCCCCACGCGTTCCTGCGGGAATTTGAGGCACCAATTCTATGGAAGCATTTGGGTGATTGGAGTTTTCAGATATGTAGTTTAGAATTTATTATGTAATACGATGACCAAATATCAGGCTGACTGGAGTAAGATGTTTCCAGTGCAGCAAATTACACGTGGTTTGAGTGAAGAGGACACTCTAAGATTTATTAAGGTAGCATGGTAATCTTGAGTAATGAAGGTGTCACTTGGTTTGAATTTAGTTGTCACTCTCTGTATTGTTGTGTGCTTGTTTGCTCTTTTTGGTAGCTGGTTCATTATCAGTTGTCGCAGTCGTGGAGCTGCATTTGATGAGAATAAATTAGTTACTAATTTAATAGTAATATGATAATGTATCCATTGTGGAAATCAATGGGAGAGTACCTTGTGGATGTGCCCTCTGAGGATTCCTGAGAATTGGGAGCTTGGGAAGTATCGATTAGATTGGTATGAATGCTTCTAGGACAAAAGACCAATTGAGTTGAAACAGTATATTAGTTGTCACTAACGATTGAATTTGTCAGGATTGAGTGGTTTGGGAAAAGGGAACGTACCTGATGGTGCTGTTAGGTGTGTCAATGGGATTGTCTTTAATTTCTCATTATCAATTTTGAAACTCTTTTTAAGGACATAATTGCTGCTGAACTTTGTTGAGTAAACAGTATTCATGCCAATATGGAAAAGTCTTTTCTTTCCAATTGCATTGTTCAATGCAGTCACATGTTCATCTGCTGGTATTTTCATGTTTTGGACAATTGCAATCTGTAAGAAAATATGAGCTGTACATAAAGCTGTAAGAAGATATGAACTATAAATTTAGACGTACCTTGGAAACTAAACTTTGGTGCTGCAAGAAAATATGAACTGTACATAGAACTGTAAGAAAATATGAACTTTAAATTGAGATGTACCTTGGAAACTAAATCTTGGCTGGAACAAAAAATGAAAGGAAGGCAATCGATGAACAGAGAGGGGCCTGAAAATTGAAAGAAATCAGTAGAGCAAAGGGGATTGAAGAAGCCAGTAGAGCAGAGGGGATTGAAAGGCCTATGGACGTAACCTTACTTGCCACAATGTGCAGGTCTGCATCAGAAGAACAATGGGAGACCTGGGTCCAATAGCTCTGAACAAAAGGGGAGCAAGCAATGGGAGGAAGATGGAGCAGGACATTAATATGGGCACAAATAACTGGGAACGTAAATCTGAAGAGAGGAATTAATCACCCAAAACACGCAATTGAATGAGAGAACTAATCAGAGAATTAATCATCTGAAACCCTTCATCTACTCAGCAATAGTGTGCGAGGCACTGTGGTGCTGAACGGAGGAGCCACAAATGGCAGGGACTTGAATGGAGGGAGGCACAGGAAGCTGAATAGAGAAACTCGCAGGGGTAGAGGATACTGTGTGGAGGCGGTGTGGGTGCGGCGCGTGCGTTGCAGTGACATTGATAGCGGGTGGCGCTGGTGTATGCTTGGAACTCGGAAGGAAGCCGAACGGGCAGCTGGCGTTGCTGTTGTGTGCTCGGACGGAAGATGAAGGGGCCGCAGGTGCACGTGTAGGGGGCCTAGGGCCGGCTGGGTGGAGGTGTGCGGGGGTCAGATGGCTGGATAAAGGTAAACTGTAGCACCCGGTTTTAAGAGCCCAGGAAGTCAAATCTCACATATAGCTACAAATAAGGGTAATATCAATAGACAATGCTCAATATATAACGTACTTAGTATAAAGAATATAACCTTAGATAGCAAACAGCGGAAAGACAACTCCGATCTTTGGGTGAAGACTCCAATTCCACAGGGACAACTGACTGGTTGATCACAAGGCTAATTCCTCCAAACTCTAGGATTTTTATCTAAATAATTGAAAAAAATAAAGGAAGCGTAAGTACATGTCGTACTCAACAAATATAACATGGTGTGCATGAGGCTCAAAAGGCTGACACTGGTTAACTGTGATTAGCTTTTAATGAGTCATTTTTTAGCAATTGGGTGGCAACAAGTTTATTCTCAAGCCCATGTAAACACATGATCAGGTAAACATAAATAATGAATAGCATAAACAGTAATCATTAGTGAGCATCTTCATCATCAGTATCATTAGTGTTCATCATCTATTCCGTAAATGTTCCAAGACCGCTCGTGACCGTAAGCATTACTGATATACTAGTTTTACACTCTACAGAAGTTGTACACTTTCACTGTGAGTCGTGATTTACCCTTTCGTCCGAGGTAGCTAATCTCTTGACCCACTTCCAAGGAAGGTCGGCAGGATTCACTATGAAGCATTTCAAATGTTCGTCTAACAAGTTAGGGCCATTAGATTCACTTGGCAAACAGATATAGAGCTCCCCTTCTCGATGGCACAATGACGCGCAGCCTATATACATGGGGACAGAGGCTGCACTATACCCGATTCGTCGAGCCATTCTTACGCCAATAAAGGTAACCACTAACAAGCTAGAAAAGGTCATCATACTAAGTTAAAGCCAGAGCCATGTAGCCCTCACAGCTGTACTGTAAGTCCCAGATAATCACTTACAGATAAGTCCTTAGGGAGAGGAATCTAGAACACCATAAAAACAGCCCAATGCTCTAGTTCCCTTATTCCATGTTGCTAAAAAGCATCTTTTAAACGTTTATTGCATATACCATTAGTCAAGTTACAAGATCATGGCTTTAGTTGAGCACTAGCAAAGCTACCAAATGCAATATCCCAAAGGTATCAAGGTACAAGTACAAAAGACTAGAATATCCTTAGTGGTAGTCAACGTAGACACATGCAACATGAATTAAATGATTAAATGTGTATAGGACAACAATGAAGATCCCATGCTATACTTGCCTTAAACTCATATCCTTCTTCTAGTCCAAATCTTCAATGAATTGCTTCTTGATCACCAACGCAAAGCTCACCGACAGGACATGATCATAAAACACCATACAAGCCTTTATGCAATCATACATGAATCAAACAATAGAACTAAATTAGAACAGTACCCCAAACATGTGAAATAGCAAGTGAAAAGGTTTTAAAGGCGTTCTACACACACAGGCGCGAAGAGGACACTAATCGGAGCTATGGTTTAAAAGAAACGGCTACCGAAAGATCTACTCATAAGAAAAATATAAAACTATAAGCTTCATGTGTTTTAACTATATAAAAGCTTATATAAATTGAATTAAGTCAAATTTAGATTTGAATTATAAAACTAAAGTAAAACAAATCATATTTTATTTATAAAATCTAGTTGCATAATTATTATTCAAATTAGAGTTTGAACCATGAAATTCTAGAAATAGTGACATGATAAACATTGTTACTAATGCGTAGATCTCATTGTAATGAATCTAGCGCAACTTGAACAGGTCAAATTGGAGCTAAAACGTAGAAGATATGAATTAAACAAGATTTTCTTTAATAAAAATAATAGATTAAATCTAACCTCAAATTTTAAAAGTTGAAAACATATCTAATAGTAGTATGAGCATGTAGATTATGGAATTACGAACCTAATGTAAGTTGAACGGATCAAATCGGAGCTAAAACGTGAAAGTTATAGTCTATAGAAACTAGTGGCAAAACTGTAAATAGATGAAAACGTATTTTGGATCTAAACCGAAAGAAATTACACTTTTAAAAGAAGAAGGCGGATTCTATGATTGCACTTTGGACTGCGGGTTCTATAATTAAAAACCCGAGGGGCTCTTTAGAAAATAAACCAGGTGAAAGGGTACCGACCGATCTGGACCGTAGGATCTAAAGGGAACGGTGCAGATCAAATGGGAGGGAGAGAGAGAGGGCGGCCGGCTAGAGAAAGGGCCGACACGGCAGCTACCATTGACAGCGGCTGCCATTGACGGCAGCGAGAAGCTCACTGGTGGAACCAGTTTCGACGTTCCCGGCCACCACCAGGCACGGGAGGACCACGGGAATCAAGAAAAGCTCGAGGCGAGCTCGATGGAGGGTTCGGAGGGAGCTATGACGGCGCGGTGGCGAAGCTGTGCTCGTCATGGTGGATCGGCTCATCGGCAAACTTCGGCGAGGCAGAGAGAGAGAGAGAGGGCGAGAGAGAGAGAGAGAGCGTTCGTGGCACCAATAGATCGCTTACCTCTCGTAGATGCTCAGCGACGCGGTCGCGGTGGCGGAGAGGCGACGGAACGGCGAGTCCCACGGCGGAGGATCTCCGACAGCGCGCGGCGTATGGAGCTACGGCTGCTGTGGCTCAAGGTGAGGCAGTGGCTCGCGTCTAGGGTTCAAG